GTAGGCGGACCTAGGCGCTTCTAGGCGGGCTCGGCGGCAATTTTTCAGTTTTTTTTTTAAATACTAATTACATTATTTTGTTCTCATGTTTTCTTTAAAATATATTAATATTATTATTTGAACTTAGGTGTGTCGATTTATTATAAGTTGAGATACTTTTATTTTGTTAGTAGTTAAATAAATAAAAAAATAAGGTATTTAATATTGATTTCTAGGCCCCGCCTAGGCGCTCTAGGCGCTAGGCGCTGGTCGAGCGCCTACCGGGCGCCTAGCGACTTTTAGAACACTGGTTTTAACTTCATTCTACGGATTCAAGAAAGAACAGAGACATTTTTGTTTTGTCCAAATCTCAAAAATTCGCAGTTATCACAATTTTTTTTTATTATTTTTTTTTTGTGCATAGACATTTTTGTGAGATGGGGACAAAAAAAATTGGATACTTTGATTGAAGAAGTTGAAAATATGAATTTTCCCCAAAACACACATATGTCTCGGGTTCATTCGGGAGGAGGAGATGAAGGAATTGCGCGGCGGCGGGTGGTGGAACAGCGGTCGAGCGGCGAGTCCAACATAAACAAAATTACCATCTAAACCAATACATTTGTACACAAATCTCAGGTTTCCTGAATCGGCCAGGACCACACATGCGTCTGTCACCACCAATTGCAGGTTTCCCGAGTTCGGTCGCCGTCGCTGGCTGCTAGTATTTCGAGGCCCTTAGGGAGAGAGAGGGAAGAACTTGTTCTGCGTGTGAAAATGGGAAAAGAAGGGAGAGAGAGAGAAAAAAAAGATGGAAAGAATAAGGAAAATGGCTGGAGGATAATTTAGACATTTAACCCACATAATACTGTACAGATTCAATTGTCCCGGTCTTCCACGACAAATCCACTGTGCATCGCGGGCCCATAGTTATCGCACGAGCCGGAGTCGCGGAAAACAAACACAAGATTAAGCGGTGACCCGTGGAGGTGTAATCTAGTCCTATCCGGGCTAACAAACATGCTCTAAGAGATGCTTGGATACAAAACTACTAAAAAAATATCTGAACATTTTTATCTCAACTATTTTTTGTAACAACTTTAACTCAACATCACTATCATCAATATTATTAATATAAATAAATAATATCAATCAATTATTGTTACACATCAAATTAATTTTAGTTCACTATTTATCCACTCAAATAATTTTAACTAACTATCATTTCAAATCATCGTTTTTACTTTTACATCAAATTAATTTTAACTATTTTATACTAAATATTATTTTAATATATCCACTAACAACTAATCATACCACATTTTTCCTACCAAATTAAACCAAAAAATTCAAACAAATCCAAATATTTTTAGTGAAAATAGCCCGTTTTGAAGTCTTGTTAAGTTTTTCACACCGTTCAATAAAAAGCTAAGTTTTTCACCCTAAAAAGTGCGAAAAACATTGTGCAATGAATATGCGACACTGTGCGAAAGTTAAAAGTGCGAAGGCATTCGCATATCACTTCGCACTTTCTAGGGTGAAAAAAAATTAAAGTGCGAGGGCATTGCGCGATAAATATGCGACAGTTATGCAATTGATATGCGACAGTTTTTTCGCATAATCTTCGCATATGCGACAGTTATGCGATGAATATGCGACATTGTGCGATGAATATGCGACATTGTGCGAAAGTTAAAAGTGCGAAGGCATTTGCATATCTCTTTGCACTTTTTGGGGTGAAAAAAAGTTAAAGTGCGAGGGCATTATGCGATAAATATGCGACAGTTATGCAATTGATAGTTTTTCCGCATAACCTTCGCATATGCGACAGTTATGCGATGAATATGTGACAATTTTTGTATAACATTCGCACTTTCCAGGGTGAAAAACTTAGTTTTTTATTGAGCAGTGTAAAAAACTTAATGTGTGGGCGAAAAAGATTTTTCCCAATTTTTTATATCAAGCATTCCCGAACTCTCTCTTAAAATTGGCGGCTCCGCATGTGTTCTCCACGCCATTTTTGTTGCTGCCATTCACTCGGCCAACAAATTCCCATGCCAACTTGTCAACTTGAGAACCCTAATTTAGCAATTCAACGTTAACCAGATGAGGAGAGATTTATAGTTTCAAGAATTCGGAGTTCAAATTTTGTAATTCGCGTACGCACAACGTCCAATTTTGTTGCAAAAATGGCTTCTTTT